CAAAAAAAAAAAAAAAAAAAAAAATCCCAAACTAAAACAAAACACAAAGTATTAGAACCATGTATGCCGAAGCTATCATTCAGGATTGTCCCATCAAAGAGGCTTAAACACGTCCAAAAAATTATAAATCTTTCCTAACAGTTAATGCGTCTAAGGAATCCATAGCTGCCAACTCCCACACCAGCACACTGCAATCTCTATAATCTTTCTCTGATAACAGGATAACATTCACAATTCAAAAGTAATCAGGAAATTAGATCCAGTTATTGGAACAAATGTTTCTCTTTATGCTGATAACAAACCAGCCTCAAATAATAACACAAAGACAAGGTCACTGCAGAAATTTAGTGATGTTTTCAAAGTTCTCGTGCCTTTCGTCACAGCATAGTTATCTTTGGCTCACTTACTTGACAAGCCTGAATTAGCAATGTGAAAAGTCAGGGCTTTCTTTAATACTGGCAATTGCTGTATGTCTAGCATGCATGAGTGTTGTAGGGTATTTGCACTCTATGTGAAGATGTATTTTCTGTGATTAGTGCAATAAAAAGCTGAATAGCCAATAGCTAGGTAGGAGTTATAGGCCGGATTTATGGGCAGAGAGAACTCTGGGAAGAAGAAAAGAAGAGAAGCCAGGTGTGAGATAGAAGAGTGGTCCATATGACAGAATGTAGATTAATATAAATGGGTTGAGTTATAAGAGCTAGTTGAGATAAGTCTAAGCTAAAGGCCAAGCTTTCCTAATTAATATAAGTTTCTGTGTCATTATTTGGAAGCTGGCTAGCAGGAAAAAGACATGCTACACATGAGGCTGTGGGTTCAGTGTTTCTCTGAAAATTCTAAATCTCGGTGGCAGGAATTGAAGCTCAATGAACGGAGTACTTGTCCAGCAATCACAAACCCTTGACTCTATCCATCCCCAGGACCACATAACCAGACCAGAGGGCACCATGCCTGTGATCGCAGCACTGGAGGCAGAGAGATCAAGGAGATCTAGGACATTCTCAGCCTCACAAGTTCAAGGACAGCCTGGTACAATAACCCTGTAATAGATAAAATTAGGAGCTGGAGAGATGGTTAAGAGTATTTACAAGCCGGGCGATGGTGGCGCAAGCCTTTAATCCCAGCACTCGGGAGGCAGAGGCAGGCGGATCTCTGTGAGTTCGAGACCAGCCCGGTCTACAGAGCTAGTTC